TTTTTAACGTTATTTTATCATAAATAATTAAAAATGCATCGATCCCTAAAAATCGAAATATCTCAAAAACGGCTAACTATAACGAAAATTCACAAGAGAGCTTTTTTATGTTGAAAAGTGCGAAGAATCAGATTTTTTATTCAAAAAGCAAAAAATTGCACTAAGAAAAAATTTTCGGTCATTTTAATACACTACAGGTACAGTAGAGAGCGCCCTCTAGCGGCTACAGTAAAACTATGCCCATGGTTCGTTTTGTCGTACCAAAAAAACCCTTGTATACCAATTTTCACTGTTATACATCAAATATTGTTCGAAATATTTAAAAAAAACTATTTTAGAATGTAAATTTAAACACCCTGTATTTCGGAAGCCACCCATTTTTCGACCCATGTTTATATAGACTTTATGCATTAATTTTAAAAGTTCTATTGAATCTTAAAGTTATGCAACAATAGACTGAAACACCCTGTAGATGATTTATTGCGAAAGGAATAGTAAGACCGGTAAGGATGAAGCGATCTTGAGATTTCTCTCCTGATCTTCATTCGTGCGACTTTTACCTACAATCTCGCGAAAAATGTGCGGATTCTGTTAACAATGAACCATTTATACAGGGTGACCGATGAGAACCTGACGTTTTTGAGATGGCTAGTACTCTGCCGGTAAGAGGAGTAGGGAGCCGAATTACAAGTCATTAGTCTGGCCATTCCATGCCGTTTCAGGAGCTATGGAACGGTGGACACTTGAGCATCGCATGTTTGCGTATGAGTCATTTGTGCAGAATGGCGGGTCTGTTATTACCGTGCAGCGACTTTTTCGTGTGCGTTTCAATCGTGGGCGTTGTGGAACCGTTCCAAGCCGCAACACGATTCTCAGTAGGGTTCATAATCTACGGTCAACAGGATCTATTCTGAAACAGAAGCCACCAGATTCGACCAAGACAGCAAAAACACCAGACAACATCGAGCGTGTAAAAGCCGCTCTGACTCGTAGCCCTAGGCGCTCTGCACGTAAACACGCGTGCGAACTAAGAAAGAGCCATGAATCTGTGTGAACAATTTTGCAGAAAGACTTAAGGTTTCATCTTTACAAGCTGTCTGTTGCTCAGAAGCCTGAAGAAAGAGATTATGCGCAGCGGCCGTAGTTTGCTTGTCGAATGCAAGCGCTTTTGGAAGACAATGAGAATGCGGTCACTATAATGAGTGGCGAGGCGCATTTTCATTTGAATGGGGATGTTAATAGACAACATTCGGCATCATTGGTCCTTATTTTTTCGAAGATGAGAATGGTTCAACTGTTACAGTGAATGCCGAACGTTACTGCCACATTCTAAACATTTTCTTGCGTCTCAAACTGCGCAGGCTACAACTGGATTTGGAAAATATTTATTTCCAACAGGATGGTGCCACCGTACACACTGCTGGTATGTCCATGCAAGTGCTGCGAAGCATCTTCCCAAAAAGATTAGTTTCCCGTTTTAATGACTTCCCGTGGCCCCCGAGATCACCTGACTTGGACACTTGTGACTTTCTTCTGTCGGGGTATCTCAAATCACGTGTATACACTTACACACCCCGCACATTGGCAGAACTAAAAGAGGCATTCAGGGAAGAAGTGGTTGCACGAGGATGCACACCACTTACCTGACGTAATTTTCCACAAGTGATACTTATCTTCAAATGGCATGTCATGACAAACGATTTTGTGCATTAAAATAAAATATTCCGTGAAAATTATCTGTGTACTGTTCATTTCAAAAACGTCAGGTTCCCGTCGGTCACCCTGTATAACAAAAATAAAAAATGATTTTTTGCCAATTTTTTGCTAGTGAGGAGCTTTTTCCCTGGCACGAACCATGTTCTTGTAGAGCTTTTAGATTACTTGGGTAACTATTATACTCGTATTTGTAGAATTATGAAAAATCAAGCTCTCAAAGCATAGCTTAACAATCCTCGGACGGAGTATCGTTAAACAAGAGAGGCTAATAAAATTTGGCGCACCACAAGGTTATGTTTTAGGGCCACTACTATTCACACTATACACCTCAAATTGGCCACAGTTGTTCAACATTGTAAAAAAACGATCTTCGCCGAGGATACTCAAATGTATCTATAATTTCACCAAAATAATTATGAAAACACTACCTGAAGCAATCAATAATTATGCAAAGGACAATGCTCTAAAGTTGAACACTGAAAGAACCGAGATGACTTCATTAGGCCCCAAAACAAAATCCAATTGTTTGAAGGAAAACATGCAACTTTGTATTATCTAATCACAGCCCGACCGTGTAAAAAACTTCGAGGTGCTGTTTGATGAAAAATTAAGGTCCGAGATCACGTCGATCTTATAGTTTAGAACTACTATTTAGCATTAGAGCTCATCCTGTATGCCAACAAAAACATTCTGACCAAGTTTTTCAAAAAAACCTTATGTGAGAAACTAGTTATTTCCAAAATTATTTATTGTATGTCATTACATTATCCCTGCTTAGACCAATATAAAGCGAAACGTTTATTGCTTAGAATTTCCATTTAAGATTTTGGGGGTGATGTCACCCCCGCTTAGGGGGCTGCACGTGCTAACGTGATTTTGTACCAGGTGAATTTTATACGGATGAAAACTATGGGCCTTTAGAATCTGTTGGACAGTTCGTCGACACACAGTCTCCAATTTGCGGGTACTTAACGTAGGATCTACATAAACTTGCCCTAAAAGCCCCACTTCTATTGCTTCGTTCCTTATTTTCAATGTTGCGTTATTTATTGGCAACTGACCCAGTTTCCCGAAATTTAGCTACAAGTTCTAAAACATATTTTCGATACAAGTTACTGTTCTCATGTCGCTCATTAAATATTTATGCTGTTCTATTAGCTATTATTTCCGAAAAATATTTCGATAATTTCAACTCTTTTTGCTGTGGAATATACCATGGTTAATTTATGTAATAAAGCGTTACAAGTTATTTTAGCAACAAAGTTTGGTCAAATCAATCGCAAACTATGTACTAATTCCTATTTAAAATAGGTACGAGATATTTCCTTATCTTTCATCAAGAAACTTTTTTTCCACAAAAAAAAAACGCTCCAATAGCTATTTTCAACAACAAAATGATAAATAGGGCGAAGTGAAGAAAATCATTTACTTATTAAGTAAATTCTTTTAGTCAAATTTCTTCTGAAAGTAGTATAAACTAATCTGATGTACCTATTAAAGTCCACCTTAAGCTTTAAATCAATAAACCTGCAAAACTACTGAACTGAATTGAAGTACCTTTAAAATAAGGTATCACTCGACCCCCCTTTCCAATTAAGATTTTAGGGTTGGTGTCAACCCCGCCCAGGGGGCTGCACGTGTTAACGTGATTTTTTGCCAAACTTCTGTCCCACTCGAAAACAAAATCGACGGGTCTGAGCGTTTTCCCAAAAAAATGAGCTGCCAGTAAATGCGTCTGTTTCGTTTTCGATGCGCCACCCTGTATAATCCAACCCAACAGAATTATTCGTTTTCTAAAAATATTCACTATGCCTCAACATAAGACTTCTAAATTCACAAGATGTCACATTTTGTGCAATCTCTTTATACAATTCCCTATCAAACGACATGAAAAATATGACTCCGAAGATGTGTAAACTAAATTTGAAGTATGTAATTGTAGTGGTTTCTAGTATTGAACTTTTAGATTTCTTTATTTTAACATTTTATGATTATTATTAATATTCTTATTACAAGAAGAGATAAACAAGTGCATTGAAATTCACTCCATTAAGCAGATAGCTATTATAAAAAACATAAGAAATCGCCGAGCTTCTAGAAATAACAGCTTATCAGCTAGTAAGTGCAACAAAACAAAAATGATATTCAAGATTAAAGCGATTCCTGCGGCTTGGGACAAAATGCGCTACTTTAACGATGCGCCATGGCTTGAAAAATGCTTCAATTTGCATAATAATGCCTGTGGAGGAGATAAATTCAATTTTCCAACATTAAGCATTCTGTTTCGTTGGAAAAGATCTCGATTTTCCTTGGTTCCGTTGCGGTTCACCTCATCTCAATAGTGCCTTTAGGAATTCAGGTGGGAAACGGCACTCTATTGTTTGTCTTCCTTTGTGGCGGAAAACTCCTTTCCGGGTCATTTAACTAACATTTTTCCTCGCGGACTTTTCACTTGAATATAAGCATGACGAAGCAGTGTAGAGATTCAACTACGGTACACACTGTCAAACAAAATGATATGGCGTTTTGTGTTTTACAGGTACTTTTTTATAGATTGAAATATATAAGTAATTCGACGGATAATTGGAAAGATTCTTAGGAATAAATTTATATTATTTTCAGAACAAATCCGAGAAATCAATATTATTGACCTCAATGCCCTGTTGGATTTTTCTCTCCCTAAGACCCGTATCGTCAGTCGTCCCTACAATTGTAGGGCGCCTTTATGGCCTCCTTGATTGTCATAGTTTTCTACTTCTCCGTGTCAGCGCTCTATTTTGAGGTTATGTCACAAACATCTATTTGCATCAAATTGTGCTTGCTTTTGAGTTATATCATGTTTTATCAGCCTGAAATTTCCTACAATTTAAAAAAAAAAACATATATTCACAATAGGAGAGCGCTGACGCTGACACGGGACAAGTGTAATCTAGAAATGTTTGAAGGAGAGAAAGCAGTATGACAATCAAGGAGGCCATAAACGCACCTTACAATTGTAGGGACGACTGACGATACGGGCCTAAGTTTCTTTCAGATATCTTGTGAATTCAGCACCTTCCCAGAAAACTGAAAATTTGCTCATGTCCAACCCATCCCAAATTAGATTAGAAATATTTAAGCAATAATGATGCCACTTCGTCTCAAGTTTTGAAACAAAAGCGTGTTAATCAGATTTTTTTTCATTTTATAGTTCATTCATATAGCTTGTTTTAAACGTCTCTTTTATTTTACTTATTTTTAGTATGTAATCACTTTCTTGCTGTCTTATCAAGAAGTTCCTTTGTTTCAGATGAGTACCAAGACGATCTCTAACCCCATCCCAACAACAATCGCCTGCTAACCACACCAGGCTCCCTGGCCCCGCCTACTCTCAAGATCAGCCACGCCCCTTGAAGGATGAGTCGCGACGAGATGCACTTCCAGGACCGTCTGCTGCTGCTGGCCCAATGCACCAATCCGCACCGGCCTTTCAACGTGAAGCGGAAGCCGGCATTGGCCAAGCAAGCTTCCTCTGGTAAAGGCGGTAGTGTAGGGGGTGTCGGCGACAGGGGCCAGGGGGCGGTGCAGACGGTGCCCAAGTTGAGCGTCCAGGATTTTGTCAGGATGGACCCAAGGTGAGTAATCTAGAAGTTGTTTGCCTTCGATAACCAACCGTATACAACGTTGTTTCATGCGCATAGATAGATACTAATTTTTCCAACAGACACGTGCGCATCGAATATCAGGATACGCTTAGATTCAATCAAACATAGGAAGAAAATAACTACTATCGTTATATAAAAATAACCAGTTGAATGACCATAAAAAATAACCGAAACAGTTACATATTAAATGTGATTTGTAAAACAAATTTGTAAGCAAGCGATACGGAACAGAACTTAATGTCACAGATGTTTCCTTTTGAGTAAAAATTGTTACAAATGATTGAAACATAGTCTAATCGTATCAGACGAAAATATCCCTCGTTTGCGAAATAAGTGTAATTATTACTGCAAGTTCAAGGGGGTATTCAAAACTTGGACGCCTACAATGGGTACACCAATTTTTGTGGGAAAACTTTATATTCGTCAACAAATGAAGAATGGGAAAACGTGTTTTTTGAGATTCAATCGAAAGTGCAGAAACGTAAAAACTCTTCATACAAGATTAGGTATTAATGAGTCCCACAAAATGGGATCTCACATAAAAGATACGACTAATAGCAAAAAAGTTATGTTCGAAAACCGATTGAAACTGCAGGTTTTGGTACCTGTTGGTAATGCGACGATGGTTTCTCGCAGATATTTGAAATTCGTAGGATTCGTACTTTTAAATAATCACAACAAAATTGGAGTAGATGGATCAAGTAGTTTTTTGTCCCAAAACACCTGTCTCCTGGCCATCACTACTAGTTTATTGAGCAATATACAGGGTTAGTTCAAAGGGCATTTTATAGCAAAATAGACTAGTTTACTTTGCCGATATGAATCGGAAACCATTTCGGAAGATACATTTTATTTTTATGCAAAAAAGGATGGGTTACTTTTTTCTTCTAAACCAGTTCAAACATTTCGTATTTGTGAGTAATTCGCAACAAAAGATGATAGACACATCCGCTTTGTTTTAAATTGTGTATAATAACGTATGTTTTTCGAATATCCTACCGCATTTGTTCAATTACTCACAAATACGAAATGTTTGAATTTGTTCAGAAGAAAAAACGTAACATTTGTTTTTCGCATAAAAATAACATTCATATTTCGGAATGGTTTGTGATTCATATCGGCAAGGTAAACACGTGTATTTTGCTTATAAATGCTCTTTGAATGAACCTTGTATATTGCTCAATAAACTAGTAGTGATGGCCGGAGAATAGGTGTTTTGGGATAAACAAGCAGAAATTCCAAAAAAACTACTTGACCAGTATACTACACTCTTGTTCTTGTTATTTAGAAGTATGAATCCTACGGATTTGAAGAATTTCAAGTGGTTGCGTGAAATTATCGTCGCATCACTTTCAAGAGCAAGAACCTACAATTTGCCTCGTTTTTCGGCCATAGCATTTTGCTATTAGTCGGATCCTTTAACTTGTGATGACATCAATCACCTAATAATCTATAATTTGATTTAAATGGCTTAACATAATAGAAAACAAGGTCTCGGCACACAACACCTATTATGTTTCTGGTAAAGGAACAATTCCAAGATAATTCCTGAATTGCAGCCTACTCAAAGCTCAATTTACGTTCTTTATTACGCCCCAACCCGAAATGTTTATGACGCATCTCTCTGCCACAAGTTTCTCCCCATTCACCCACTGTACCATCCAGTAGCGTATCATAAATCTTTTGGGCATTTATACAACGCTACTAGTAATTTGCTGTACTCCTTCCAGGGCCCCAATTCTTGAAATGGGGGAATAGAATAGCTAGTGGTAAGATTTCTGTTACATTTTCTGGCAGCTTCCGATGTGCATTTTAATCTTAATCAAAATATAAATTTATGTATATATGTGTGTGTCGAAATAATGTAGCTAGGCTTTTCAAATCATTAAACGTATGACCACAAAGTGCTAGTTGGGAGAGATGGGTGACGTATAAGGTTTATCGTATTAACGTTACCAGAATCGACCACTGTGAAAGTGAAAACAGCAAGCTATCTGTTGGAACTGTATCTCAGTTCCAATCATCAGCCGGATTACCACAGTGGTCGCTAGATGTCGCCAGTTCTAGTGCTGTAGTAGATACGGTCTACTTACCATTGAACAAACTAACAGAACGTTTAGTTTTATAGTTTCGTGGTTGATTCTGGTAACAGATGGCACTTCGTGCTGTCTTATTTCAATCGACCTTATACTCTGGATGGATGATAGTTGCTCAGCTTTTGTTCGTTATTCTACGTGAGACCAAGCCTACACTATGCTGAGCAGTTGCCAAGTAGCACAAAATAGCTGTCTATGTAGTTTGATGGATGACGGCCAGACTTCTGCACTTTTCTCTCGATTAACGACTGTCGGTTTTCAGGAATACAGTTCAGCAAATGTTAAGAGAGCTCTTTTCGTCTCCATTAGTCTCATCTCGAAAAATGAAGTTAGCTTTTTGATGATATAAAAAGCCTATAAACAGAATATTTTGTCAAAAATAGATGCATTCACAGATGTATTTGATAAACGTCAAAAGGTACGTCAAAACATGTCAGATAAGGTAATAGAATACTGTATACTAGTTATTGTATTCCCTCATTGTCATGAATAGGGCCCCAGGCCATGAGAGGAGATCTAAGATGCAACAAATTACATCAAAAGTAAGTAAGACTGTAAATCAATAGTGATCGAAGTTGTTAAATATTAGCAGCGATCTTTAACAAACACCCAAAGTTAGGCATTTAAGTCTAAATAAAAAAGGATGTACGAAATACGTGAGAATTTGATTAGTTTTGTAGTTTATCGTTCATCACAAAGACACATGCAATATTCCTGAAAAATAAAATAGTTTACTTAGAACAAAACTTTGTATAGCTCTAGAGAACTTGTTCATTTTTTGTCACAGGCATTGGTGGACTTCTTTGTCACGTCCGAACTGAAGCGTAAGAGCATAATCTGTAATCAACATTTGTAAAAAGTGGTGAATGTGCATACTAAAATGAAATAGCGTTTGGTAAAAAGAAACAGAAAGCGTTATTATTAATTTGTGATTTTCCTTATGATTCTGAGAGAAAACTATGAAGAACTATATCTTGGTGGACTTTCCTATCACTTCCGCACTGAAGCGCCTCAGCTCAACATACTATATGTAGCCAATAATTGTGAAACGTGGTGAAAGTGCACACTAACATGGTAGAACTAAAAAAAAAGCGTTATTATTAATCCTTGATTTTTCGTATGATTCTGAGAGAAAATAATAAAAATCTGCGTTTATCGCAAAATCTGTAGTCAACATTTATTAGAAGGGGTGAATGTGCATACTAAACTGATTGTGCTAACTGGTAAAAATAAACAAAAACCGTCATTATTAATTAACGATTTTTTATATGGTTGTGAGAGAAAACTATTGAACTACCTTGTGGTGGGACTTTCGTATCACTTCAGCGCGAAATGTGTGCCAAAATGTGTGAAAAAAGTGAATGTGCATACCAAAATGATTAGACAAACTGGCACAAATAAACAAAAAGTGTTTTTATTAATTAATGATTTTTCATATATTTGTTTAGGGTGACTTATTAGTTTTTTTTAAGTAATTCTGAGAGAAAATTATTAAAATCTGCGTTTTGAAGGACTTCATTATCACTTCCGGAGTAAAGCGTGATAGCATCCCAAAATCTGTAGCTAACATTAGTGAGTAGTGGTGAATGCGTACACTAAACTCATTGGGCAAAATGTTCGAATCATTTCATTTATCTTATTATCTATTCGATATTACAAGTACTGTATAGGATATAGGTAATGATATAAAGGATTCTACAAAATATAGAAAAATAAAAATCACATTAGCAGATTAACAGAAAAAGCTAATAAGATTAAAAGAACAAACATTCATATACAGGGTGACTTCGAAGTTGAGTCATTTATTTTAACAGTGAGTAGATCCGATCAAAGGAAATGTTTTTTCCTTTAACATTTTTCTGGTAAAATTAAAGTAACAAAGTTATAGCCCTTTAGAAGTTTGAGTACCGCACTGCCTCAATAATAATATTATGTGCTCGTGTTTGGCAACAATGGATATAATCCGCCTTATCCGTTCATTGCAAAAAACCGAAAGAATTTGAAACGATGTTTTTACTACAATGTGCAATCTTATTCAGTTGTATTCAGTCGATGTGTCAGTCGGTAACGCGTGAGTGAATAGTGAATAAAAAATGGCACATGTTTACGAAAATGCTGAATGTAGTACAAAGGGCTCGTGAATCAGGTGACTTAAGACCTCACAGGGGAGGGCATGCCGGTGCTCCAAGACCGCACGATCAAATACAGGTCCGCACTGAAATACTTGTCGGGAGGATACTTTATAAAAAAAGGTAACATTTTTGTTTTTATTTTTTTTTATTTTTACACACATATTTTGGTTTATCTTCCTTCTACAATCATTATCTGAAAATTAATGACTCAACTTCAAAGTCACCCTGTACATATAAAATCATCCACAGAATACAAAACTTTATCAACAAACTAACTTTCCAACTTCACCTTAAAGACAGCTTTTTATCTTTCAGCCAAGTTTATACTTTACAAAAGATAAATGTCCAGGGTGGCCCATCCATGTGTGGACTGAATATTACTCATAAACAAATACGTTTTGGGGTAATCTATTTGTGGCGTGTTATACATGACATTTGAGGGAACATTTCTAAAATATTGGCAACTATACAGGGTGCCCCAATTTTGAACTACATATCAAAGTTCTGGTTTTTTAAATGGAATGCCTCATTTTATTGCATATTTGCATAAACCAATTCAATAGAAAAAATATTGATATAACATACTATGGGGTTTTGGTAATTAGCTACTGAGATGTAAGGTGTTTTTTCCAGAAAAACTGTCCACTTCGGCAACTCCGCAATCTGCCACTTTGAAATTTGAAGTGTTGAATTTTGTATCAAAAAAACTGACACACCTCAGTTTTAATCCTATGTGTTGATA